GGGCAGTTTTTCAGTTTTTATTTTGTTTAAAATGTCCTGGGAATTTCAGTTTATTACAAAAATTAAATTAAAAGTGGGTGAAAATCAGTGCAAAAACTAACCCCCATTTTCTAGGTAAATGCCAGGGTTAATATGGGGGAACAAAAGGACGGGGAAAAAGCAACAGACAGAAAAATAAGTGTATTATAAGTAAAAGGAGTTAATGCTGTCGCTTATTGCATCTGCACATTAACACTCTGTACTCATATACATACAAACAAGGACGTGCATATCTTCCACTACATTGCCTCACATTTATACGTGGACTAATTTATTAACAAACACTATCTACCTAATCTGTATTTTCATTCACTTGAATGGTCCAAATTTTTGTGTGAAAATGTTTTTTAAAAAAAATCAGCTTTTGTAAAATCTAGGAATTTTTCTGGACAAATCAATAAAAACAGAGAAAGGGCCTCAGTTGTGATGTAGATTGGGTGATAGCATATGACTTAAAAAAACACTGATATCTAAACAAGTTTTTCTTTTTAAATTTTCTTTCAGATCTGTGTTCTATCGCTCATATAAAGAACAAGAGTCCAAGAAAGGATTTGACCAAGAAGAAGTTTTTGAAAAACCTACACGTGAAACTTGTCAGGGTAAGAGATGATGGCAGATGGAAGAAACAAAGCCTGCAATTAGCAGCCGGCCTTTGCCAGACAGAGTCCTTCATGTTAACTTTACTATATTTGACTGTTTATATTGCACTGTAAACATGTAAACGATAAATTTGTGCTCTTGGTACAAAGAAACTTGTAAGGTCAGTAAAAAAAAAAACAAATATTCCCTTTCTGGATACGTTGGCAGCATGTACATTTATAGTAGAATCTGCACTTGCTAATATGTCATGAATTCACAACACTGGAGTGTACTAGCACAGAATGCAAATATGGTGTCTACTATTCTGAGAACGTGATTCTTAATGTTTTTGTAGAAATACTTTGAAGGATTTTTGGCTCTGAATTCATTTGTCTTTAATCTCAGGTATGAGGCATGCCATCTATGACAAACTAGATGATGATGGTTTGATAGCACCTGGTGTACGTGTGTCAGGAGATGATGTCATCATTGGCAAAACAGTAACTCTGCCTGAGAACGAAGATGAACTGGAAAGCACTAATAGACGATACACAAAGAGGGACTGTAGCACTTTCCTACGAACTAGTGAGACTGGTATTGTAGACCAGGTCATGGTAACCCTTAACCAGGAAGGATACAAGTTTTGCAAAATTAGGGTCAGTACCAGTGTCTATGGCTTCTGGGTTGTTTATACTTATTCCCTTTTTTTTTTAAAGTCACTGATCTAATGTTTTCTGTTCCCTCCAGGTGCGCTCTGTGAGAATCCCACAAATTGGAGATAAATTTGCCAGCAGGCATGGTCAGAAAGGTACCTGTGGTATCCAGTACAGACAAGAGGTAGCAACTTTTTTTTTCTCATACTTGTATATCTCACTGTACAGTGAAACTTGCGTATTAATGTGGATTGCCTGCAAAATAAGTTACCTTAATATATTGATTTAAATTTAACCTCTGTTCAGTTCTTATTATTTAAAATGTCTTTGATTCACTTAAGTTGAATTGGATTTTTATTTTGTTGGAACTCCCTAGCTTCTCACGAGGCATAATGAGAATCTCTTTCTTGCTTTAGGATATGCCTTTCACCTGTGAAGGCATCACACCTGACATAATCATCAACCCCCATGCCATCCCTTCCCGTATGACAATTGGTCACTTGATTGAATGTCTTCAAGGGAAGGTAAGGAGAACAGTTTGTGTTGTGTAGCTAAAATCTGAGAAGTAAACCGCATTTGTTTTATCTTGTGGAGAACCTGGTCTGCTAGTTTCTGGTATTTGTTAACCCACTAAAGAACGATAATCAAGTTCCTATTTGAGGATCTAGTAACAAAACAAAAGGTATATTAATTTCCTTAGGGAGAAGCCAGAGTGCTGTCTTCAGTGGGTCAAACCACAATGTGTTTATAGCAGAATTTCTTTGCTGCTTTTATTGACAGAATTACTGTACAAGCAGTCTCCTAATCTATGGAAAAGAAAGGCGTAACAGAGTTAGGCTAGTGTTAAGTGCTTCTGAAAATCCCACCTGTAACTTGTGCGTCTAAGTTTTGTTCAACAGAAAAATATCCATTCTATTAGAAAGTTTAGGTTGGACACAGTCCTGGGCATTGGGTCTGAAATCTTAACAGCAGGAGTAGGTTAGCTGTTTCAAGTTACCTGCATGCTGTCTGACTACTTTCATATAGAATGCACAGCTTGTGTCTATAAAAATTTACAGTATTCAGCAAACCCTTTTTCTCTATAGGTATCAGCAAACAAGGGAGAAATTGGTGATGCTACACCTTTTAATGATGCTGTCAATGTGCAGAAGATTTCCAATCTACTATCAGATTATGGCTATCATCTGAGAGGAAATGAGGTATAGTGCTCAAAATGCCAATCTAGCTAAAGGTTATTGGTCTGTTTTGATAATTTTTGTTATGTCTAGTTTAGGCTTGTGCTTCAGAGATTGTATTCTTTACTTCAGGTTCTCTACAATGGCTTCACTGGACGCAAAATCACATCACAAATCTTCATTGGTCCTACTTACTACCAGAGGTTGAAACATATGGTAGATGACAAGATTCATTCTCGTGCAAGAGGGCCAATTCAGATTCTTAACAGGCAACCGATGGAAGGTAGATCTCGGTAAGAATATTTGTGGATTTTCTTTTTTATGAGTGTCCTTGAAGTCTCACAGTTGGTTTGCTAAAGTAGAGAAGAATTAGCTGCCTCAACTGTGCAGCTGTATCTTAACTGTCTCATCCAATTAGCCACCCATTTGGAGTTGATGGTAGTGTGCTTAGGTTTGGACAGATAAAACATGACTTAGTCATTTGTAGTAGAGTTTGTTGTGGTTTGTCTGTTCAAACACTATATTGTCATCTGTTGTAGAAATTTTCTTAGTCATCCGACTGTTAGTCGGAGCAGCAGTTTTATAATTTGGCTGACTTCTTCCCAATGATCTTATTTTTGGGAGAAGGAGAAGAGATGATGACAACTTGCTGGGTACAGAGGCACTATTTGTAATACTGCTGATGTATTTGTACAGAATTAGGTCTCCGTAATAGCTGCTGGAACCATCATTTCTGACTTAATGATAAAATATCCCCCCCCCCCCCCTTATAGCGATGGTGGCCTTCGTTTTGGAGAAATGGAGCGAGACTGTCAGATTGCTCATGGAGCAGCTCAGTTTTTAAGAGAGAGATTGTTTGAGGCTTCAGACCCATACCAAGTTCACGTTTGCAATCTTTGTGGAATAATGGCAATAGCTAACACAAGGACACACACGTACGAGTGCAGGGGGTGCCGTAATAAAACACAGGTATGTATGGATTTCCTCTGCAAGTATTTCTACTTGCAGTCAAGAACAAACAATGATTAAAGGAGTATGATGGTGAGTGAGGATGAAGAGAGCAAGTGGTAAAAGAAACACAAAAATTAACCCAATAGTTACATATAACTACAAGTGTTTTTGTTTTTTCTAAGTGTCAGAGTTCATTCATATGTTTCCCTATAATTGCCAGAGTTCTGGCTGTGTCATTTGGCAGGAAATTTCACTTAAGTTCTCTTAAAACCCAGTATTATAAAATACATAAGTGAAAATGAACATTAAATCTTTTAACTTTTGGGGAAAAAACTGATGCTGTAAAACTCATGGATTGATTTAATGGCTTTGCCACTACTCCAACTGTTCAGAATATTATGTTTTGGTTGAGAGAGGAATAAACTTAAATGTCACATAGTTGAGGTGCTGGGGGAGGGAAATCACAGGTTTTGAATTAATATGGAAGTTTATATTAGAGTATAAACTGTAAAGAGGATTGTTTTTCTCTACCATAACTCAGTTACTCCTTCAACCTCTAAGGAGCTTAATTGTCTGGTAATAGTTAATATGCACAAATAAAATATCTTGACCAATAGGAGCAAAAGAGAGAGCTTTTGTCTACAGATTTTGACCACTGAAGGACATGTCTACTGTATTAAAATGATAAATTATAAATAGGTATATCTAATTAAACACTATCTCATAGAACTGGAAGGCACCTTGAAAGGTCATTGAGTCCAGTCCCCTGCCTTCACAGCAGATCCAAGTATGGTCCCTGACAGATTTTTGCCCCAGATCCTAAATGGCCCCCTCAAGGATTGAACTCACAACCCTGGGTTTAGCAGGCCAATGCTCAAACCACTGAGTTATCCCAAAACTGATGCTCCAGGTGAGGCTTGAACTCACAAACTCAGCATCACTCCATGCAGCACTGCTCTAGAAGTACTGCGCACTAACCTATTGCACGACTGGAGCCCATAAAGCTGAGTGTCTGGACAGGGGCTCAAACCCTGGACCTTCAGATTAAGAGCCTGATGCTCTACCAACTGAGTGTTGTGTTGATCTGGACCTGTAGAGAAACATATCAACACTATTGAGTAAAGTAGTGCCACCCTGGATGGAGTGTGATCAGTCATCCCTTCAAGGTGAATTGTAAAGACTTTCCCTAAAAGGCTATCAAAAATAGAACTTCATATGAAGCACTAGACCCTCCCAAAAAGTTACTATTTACTTAGTGAGTAGGGAGAGGGAAATTCATCTTTAAACAGATACCATGTACTAAATTTTCTTACCTCCCTTTCAGATTTCCTTGGTGCGAATGCCGTATGCTTGTAAACTCCTCTTTCAAGAGCTGATGTCCATGAGTATTGCACCTCGTATGATGAGTGTTTAGCCTTTAAAAGGCTTTGCTTTAGTTCTGACTTTACGTATATGCTTGTTCCGGTTCTAGTGTTCCATTTTAAAAGATTTTGAATGCAGAATGTTGCATATGTCATTTTACATCAGGTTGTTTTGCATCTGAACACTTTGTTTAAATGATCTTGAGCTTACTTTTTGTAAATAGAAATAAAGATTTGTAGTCAAATGTGAATTACATTTATTTGTATTTCTGCCAAAAGCATGTAAGCAAAACATTACTAAAAGGAAGAATGAGTCAGATAAGGAACTTATTATCAGGCTCTAGCCTAGAAGTCAGTGGTTGCAGCTTTCCAAAATACTAACTTAAACTGCATAAATGATATAGTCCTCACGTCACAGCTCTGCACCATCATCTGGGGAAAAAAAACAAAGGGATGCAGGTTCATAATTACAAGAGGGTAACACTACAGATACTCCAATATCAATGGAGTGAATTTTCTGTTTGTTCTTCATTGACTTAAATGTGGATAATCAGACCTTTCCTCTTTTTCTTTCTTCTGAGGGAACTGGATAGCTTAGGGTAATGGAATTGGGACCTTTCACTAAGGTCATTGGAACATGTCCATTGTCAATAGTTAGCTAACTACATAGACATTTAGACTGTACTTATTACTGATGCATCTGAGATGCCATCTGATGACTTCATGCCTGTCACTGCCTGAGAGAGTCAGACAGCAAGTCAGAGCTGGCACGCTGCTTCAGGAGCCCCAGAAGTGACAACTGTATGTGGATGAGAACTGGAACTGCTGGTGGGAACTGACCAAAGCAAGAACTCCTAATGAGCAGAAGGCTTGGGCAGTGGCCTCTAGAAAAAAGGGGGAGATTCAGCTTGGTGAAGGGAAGCAGGAGGGGCAGGCACGGAGGAAGGACTGGGAGTGGAACGCTGTCTGAGGGAGAACCCTCTCCATGAAGCGCTGTGGGAGCAGAGAGGTCTAGAGACAGGGGTTCTGAATCGAGAACACAGTGCTGGTGGAGGCTCTTGGATGGGTGAGAGGGGAATGGAAAAACATACTATGTATTTTTATTGCTTTATAACCAGGCTTTTGAGGAACTATGGCACTGGTGTAGATGAATAAATTGAACTCAGATGATGTACAAAAGGTGAGCAAAGGGGAACCAGGCTTGGCACAACTGTCATGCATTGGATGGCACTCGAAGCAGGGTCACCCTATCACAATGCCCCTTTAACAGCTTTGAAGTACACTCCTTTTATAGACTGTCTGCACCTTCACTTATTGATTAGCTAAAGCATATGTCAAACTTCGATGCAACAAAAATTAATTCTGGAGGAAATTGATTTTTGTTGCATCAACACTTTTCTTAACTCCTTGCCATTTCCTAAAGGTGAGAAGGAGCTGCAATAATTTGTGGCATACTTTTATTTCTCCTCATATGTATCTTTGTGACTATGGTGTACTATCAAGTCTGTACCATGCTGCATTCTAGTACTAGCATTGCCATTAACAAACAGCAAAAGCCTATCACTTCCCTGACCTGTTTTTGGACAATTTTCAGTTGTCCTTTAAAAAGCCAAATCATTAGATGCATGTATCCCCTGCATTTGTGATAATGGATTTCTAAAAAGAGGTATAATATGGCCAAAACCAAGCACCTTTAGCAAAGGGCATAACTTAATTATGTTAGTGTCTGACTTGACGCAATTGATGGTGGGATTCATTTTATACTCTTGCTTTACTGCTGGACAATATTTGATGTGCTTAAAAAAAAAAAATCTTCCAGCTATTGAGATGTCATTTAAAAGAGCAGAAGTCTAGAACCTAAATGAATGGATTACATACACTAACCTATAAATGTGTGTGATAAAGTTGTGAGGATGGAAGATGATCAAGGCTATTAGGACTACATATATTGGCAAAACAGTCCTGCTGTTTTTGGAAGTGTTTTTAAAGCCTTTTATACAATTTGAAATTCAGGTCTTTTCAGATAACATGGTGGCTGGAGAACCAATGAAATCACCACCATAGCCTGAAAGCTGAGCTATTTGGAACAGAAGGGATTTTTAGTCAATGTTTTAACCTTTACCTAGTTAACCTCTGATACCTAACACACACTTTGGAAAAAGCATGTCTTTAATAAAGATGCAACAACCCAATTCTCAGCTGTGTGAGAGCTCTTACACTAGAGACCTCCATGAGTGCTTCACCAGAACCAGAAAGACTGGGTTTGACATTAAAAATATCAGCAAGCTACAGCTAACAGTTTTAAATGCAACTTTTCAGGTTGTTCTCTTATATCCTAAACAACCAAAGGGCAAAAACTCCATTAAAAAAAAAAAAAAAAAGCTTTGCCCATATTACCTACCTTTAGTTATGGGTATTTCATGTAAGGCATTGAGAACAGTAATGCGTGCAGAGGCTGTAGCCTCTCCTTTGGAGTTTGATGCATGACACTCGTACTCTCCAGCATCCTCTTTACTCAAAGGAGATATCTATGAAAACAAGCAGCATGTATCCTTGTTTACTACAGAGGATTTGTTCTCCAGTTACTTTGTGTTACTGTTGGGTTGTATAACAGCAATAAACAATAGCACTAGTAATAGACTCAATACAGGTAACTGATCGAGTGGGAATTAGCAGTTGGAGACTGCACATGTCCAGAATATTCCCTTGGCCAGCAGTATGGAACATGCAATAGTTTTGTTTAAAAAAAAATTGCATCATAAACTGAACTTTTAAAAATAATGAGAATTTATTCCCTATTAGCAAAGAGAGCAGAAAACTCCATCCTGACTTCTTTCAACAGAGCCGAAGGGCCAGCGGTGGCTTCAGTCAGCCTGACTGGGTCAGTAGTGGTTTGCCCTAGTTCCCAAAGCAGATGGGTGGCAGTATCCAACTACACTACAGCAAGCACTCCGGTACCTGTCCTGGAGCTCAGCGAATCAATCCACTCCTAATTTCCCTCTGCCTTCCACATCAGGATTTGCTTTAGCCAGACTTCAAACCTTTGTTGTGTTTGCTTAGGTTTGTGTCTGATGTTTTAGAACTTCCTGTTGTCATGGAGAGGGAGGCAGGAAAAAGCGGTAGCCCTAATGCTCCTCTCCGGGAAGGTGCTTCATCATATTTCTGTTGGCTCAGTAGCGTATTTGCCCTGCTCCAAAGCTTTCTCTGCCCAAGCTTCCACCTCTGTTTTGGCGCAGGGTAAGCTAATGCCTTTGAGTTCCATTCCCCAGCCACCACCTCATTTGGCAGCTGAAGAGATTGCACAGTGTGGTCAGTTATTGCCAAAGCTTATCTACTTGCAAAGCAAATCTGTCACCCTGACCTACTGTGCCATCCTCTCTGCTGGCTTCCCTGCTGCTGCTCTTTCCCCTCTCCAATCCATTTCCATGCATTACAGCTCAGGCCCTAGGATGCTGCTCCAGTTGTCACACTCCCACTTGAGTAACTCCCTATATGAGAACAGTTTTTTAAAAGGTTGTTTGTTTTTTTTAACTTCAAGTTTTGAATGTCTGGGATGCAGATTCCTGAGAGTTCACATTCCTTGAGGACACAGGTCAGAGATGCTAAGAGCAAGGGTTTTCTGTGAACTCCAGGACAGACCAGTCCTGCCATGTTCACATAGCAATCCTCAGTCTGCGCTGTAGGACATGGAATCAAGTGGAAGTAAAGGTCTCTGCCTCTTTCCTCTTAAGTAAATGTCTACCGCGCAGTTCAGAGTTCTTTGAGGAGGGCATCTCATCTGGTCAAGCTTGTAACTATAGGGAACAGTCTCTTGAGCTGTACAGACTTGATTGGAAAGCGTTCCCCAGCAAGACAGGTACAAAATATAAACAGTGCTTGAGAGAGGTCAGGCTGATTCTGGCTTGGGTTTGTGGGGCTCATATGAAGTTATGAGAGTGACTCTGTCTCTGTGGAGAGGGAGTGTCTAGTGTAGTGCTCCATCTTGCACTATGCTCCACAAAAGGTAGGACAGTAGTGCCCTGATCTGTGGAGAATTCCACTCCCGTGTGACCTTCACCGAAGATAACTGGTCTCCAGTGCTAGCAATCCTGTCCTAGCTACCTGCTGTGCTGCACCTGTTGATCGCAGTATTTTACAGACAGTGCAGAAGGAGAGGTGGTCTGTCATTTCAGTCTGGTCCTATTCCTGAAAGCTTTTAAACATTCTGCTCTGCCTCATTGTTTTCACACACATTTTGCATGGGTGTAAATAACTACAAAAGATAAAAGCAAAGAACTGGGCCAACTGAATGCACTTAATCTTACTCCTTGTCATACATGTCACTGCTTTTTAACTTCAACCAAGAAAAATACTGCACCTACTCCATTGTAATTTCCCAGTATTATGCATAGAAACTTGGATCTTGCCAAAAAGTTATCAGAATTGTATATGAATGTGCACAAGTACTTACCAATACCCAGCCAGTCACTTCATGTTTCTCAGGGCCACCACGGGTCTGGATAGCTAAGTTGTCGCGGTCTCCAGGCAGGAGCTCCAGCCTTTGGACACCAGATTGTCCCCTTATTATCTGAGCAGGAATATTAAGAGTCAAGTTGGCAGTAGTTTGACGAGATTGCCATCATAAATACCTAAGCCCCTAACCCCCTAAAGCCTTGTCTACACACAAAAGCTGTCTGGATTTAACTAGGCCCATACAGTTGGCGTGGTTATACTGCTTTAAAGATGTTCCTACCACTATGGCTATTCCTATAGGGAAAGAGAATGATCTACACCAGTATCTGCATCCTGATGGGGAGGTTTGTACTGGTATAACACTACTGATAAAACAAAAAAATCACACCTCTAACTGACAGTTATACTGGTACAGAATCGGTATGCAGGCCAGGCCTACGACAGACTGTGGCCTGCAGAATACATGTGAAAGTTTTACTGATATAACTAGTTTGAGTAAGGGTGTGATTTTTTTTTACCAGTAAAAGCCATAGTGTGGATGCATGGCTATACCTGTTAAAGCACCTCTATACCAGTATAACTGCGTCCCTACCAGTGAGGGAGTCTATAGTAGTTAACGCTGTACAACTTTCTAGCTGAGGGTATGTCTACACTATGAAATTAGGTCGATTTTATAGAAGTCGTATTGCATATGTCCTCACTAAGCACATTAAGTCGGCAGAGCGGTGCACTGTGGGTAGCTATCCCACAGTTCCCGCAGTCTCTGCTGCCCATTGGAATTCTGGGTTAAGCTCCCAATACCGGATGGGGAAAAAACATTGTCATGAGTGGTTTTGGGTACGTCAGTCACCCCTCCCTCCATGAAAGCAATGGCAGACAATCGTTTCACGCCTTTTTTCCTGGGTTACCCAGGCAGACACCATAGCACGGCAAGCATGGAGCCCGCTCAGCTCACCATCACCTCTGCTGTTGTGGGCAAGTCTACTGTGGGGCCTGCTATGATCCAAGTAGCCAATGCAATCATTGATGTTCTGTTATCAAGGGTAGTGACTCTGGGAAATGTGTGGGCCTTTTTAGATTTTAGGTGCATCATATTCCTGTCCTTTGTTGCTGGTGAAGAAGTCTTGCAGCCCTACATTCCAGTCTGGTCGGCGCTGTAACACCCCATAGCACTTCTGTGGTTGACACGTGTAACAGCTCCAGGGCTCTTGCTCTTTTGCCTTGGCCGAGGTATCTTGCCCTACCTGGACCTCCAAGCCTTTGACACAGAAGCACCTGCAGCAGCTGGCATTGCTACACAGAGCAGCTCCTTGCCTTTGCAGCAGACGGTGCAGTAGGACTGCTAACAGCCCTCGTCGGACATGTAGCTTGGCCGGGGGTTCTGGGAATGTCTTCCCTGCCCAGCTCCTAGCAACCTCCAGGGCATGGTGTATGGCTCCCCTGCTTCCGCTGCAACTCTGCTCTCCTGCTCCCTAGCGACGACCTCGGGGGATCCGTTCTGGTCCTCCTGGGTGCTGCTGGCAGCAGATGGTGCAGTTGAACTATTAACCATCCTTGTCCACTGCTTCTGCTGCAACTCTGCTCTCCTGCTCTGGGGATCCGTTCATGAAGCCTGGACAGTAGTAAGGAGCAGCTCAACTATAGGCTGAGCAAGTGCAGAATGGTGGTAGAATGTGCCTTTGGACGTTTAAAAGCTCGCTGGCGCTGTTGGTCAGACCTCAGCACAACCAACATTCCCATTGTTATTGCTTCTTGTTGTGTGCTCCATAATATCCGTGAGAGTAAGGGGGAGACGTTTATGGCGGGGTGGGAGATTGAGGCAAATCGCCTGGCACCTGAATATGAGCAGCCAGACACCAGAGCGATTAGAAGAGCACAGCAAGGCACACTGCGCATCAGAGAGGCTTTGAAAACCAGTTTCATGACTGGCCAGGCTTCGGTGTGACAGTTGTGTGTGTTTCTCCTTGATGCAAACCTGCCCCTTTTGTTGATTTTAATTCCCTGTAAGCCAACCGCCCTCCCCCCTTCGAAATAAAGTAGCGATTGTTTTGAAACCATTCATTCTTTCTTTAATAATTTAAAAAAAAATTAGATAATGGACAAGGTGGGATGGGGGAGGAGGGAAGAACAAGGCCACATTCTTTATTGTAGCCACACTAAAAGTCAAACTGTTTGAATGACAGCCTTCTGTTGCTTGGACCATCCTCTGGAGTGGAGTGGCTGGGTGCCCGGAGCCTCCCCCCTGCGTTCTTGGACGTCTGGGTGAGGAGGCTACGGAACATGGGGAGGAGGGTAGGCGGTTATACAGTGGATGCAGCGGGGGTCTGTGCTCTTGTTGGCTTTCCTGCAGCTCCAACACATGCTTCATCATGTCCGTTTGCTCCCCCAACAGACGCTTCAGCATGTCCGTTTGCTCCCCCATTAGCCTCAGCATCACGTCCTGCCTCCGCTCTTCGCGCTCACTTAATTCTTTCCTGGCCTCTGCCACTGAATGCCTCCATGCATTAAGCTGTGCCCTATCAGTGCAGGAGGACTGCATGAGCTCAGAAAACATGTCATCGCGAGTGTGGTTTTTTTGCCTTTTAATCTGCGACAACCTCAGGGACGGAGATGATAGGGGAGTGTTTCTACACTCTACAATTCTGGGGGGACTGCGTGGCCACCTGTGCTGCTGAGTTTGCCACACTGACCAAACAGGAAATGAAATTCAAAAGATCCTGGGGCTTTTTCTGTGTACCTGGCTAGTGCATCGGAGTTCAAAGTGCTGTCCAGAGTGATCACAATGGAGCACTCTGGGATAGCTCCCGGAGGCCAATACCGTCGATTTGCGTCCGCACTACCCCAAATTTGACCCAGCAAAGTCGATTTTAGCGCTAATCCCCTTGTGGGGGAGGATTTTATGAAGTCGATTTTAAGAGCCCTTTAGGTCAATGGAATGGGGTTGGTTGTGTGGACACAGTCATTTTTAAATCGACCTAACGTGGCTAAATTCGACCTAACCTCGTAGTGTAGAACGGCCCTTATTAGGCAACTTGCTAGCACTCAGCATTGCCCCTAACTCTGTTCCCACTGAAGACAGTGGTAAAATGGCCACAGACTACAATGGGAGCAGAGTTAGGCCAGCGCCTAGCACTTCGGAAGAGCCTACCCTAAATGCCTGAAATGGTGCAAGTACTTGTATAAAGATGGGAAAAGGTGGTTCCCTGGGCTGTCCATGGTGGCTGCTGTCTGTTTTTCAGTAGCACCTACAGTCCAAAAGGCCAGAGTTTCAAAGTGTTCAGCACCCAGCAGCTCCCATTGTCCTCAGTGATAGTTTGGAGTGTGGGGCTGGATTCTCTATTCTCAGTGGAAGCTTCAGGGTGTTGAGCCCTTTTGAAAAAACTTGGCCTTTGGGCTCTGGAGTAGTGGGAAACTAGCACTGCACATGCTGTTACCAGGGCAGGGCCCAATGGCACGTGACTTTCCCAAGGAGAATGGTGCACAAAGTAAACCAAAGGCAGCAACCTGAGCGTCTGCTGCCCTAAAACCGATGTTTTCCAAATGGTCATGGGCAAGACTGGCAAAAAAGGCTTGTCATTGTGAAGCTTCTAGACACTTCTGCACAGTGCAAAGCCACACTATGACCAGCTTAGCTGAGAGGATCCTTGATAGAAATGTTGCCTGGAAGCAGAAAACCACACCCCTTTGTTGATGTGTGGTTTGTGTTTTTTCAGCCTTTTTGGTGCTGAGGGAGGAGATAACAAAAGATCTGCCTCGTTAATCAGCAATGAAGCTAATGGTGTACAAGCTACACCTGGCAATGTACCATACAACGTTCTACAGTTCAATTGGTAAATATTATTCCTTTCCATGATTATTTTATTTACAGAAAACAGCAGCTTAATTCTGCCCTTCCTGCACACTCCTCCCATGCAGTGCTCTAGTAAGTTCCTGAAAGTGCTGGTGAGTGGCATGTTCAGTTTCCTGTGAGAGGAGGTTGTCATTTCTCTGTGCCAAACTTTAATTGGTGACACTGGAGCACACAGCTAGTTGTGGAGCTTTAAAAGTCCACTGAAGATCTGTCTGACAACGTACACCACAACTGATTTCACTTACAAACAACAAGGTCTCCTATGTCACCAGGAAATGTCTGTAGTTGGCCCTATTATTTAGGTGGGTCACTATTTGAACAATTTTCCTTAAAATGTTTTAAATATACATTCTTTAAATTGATTGTAAAGGGCTATAAACCATCAGAGGTCCCAAGAGCCTGTGGGTTTGAGAAAACTTGAAAAGTGATGGAGTCTGCACAATGGCACTTTTTTTTTTTAATTTTAACCTGCACACTCTGTTTGAAATTTAACACCAAATCAAAGTCTTCTCTCTATCCTATCACTTCCAAAGAGGCAGCAAAGCAGGAAGTGCACATGTGAATGTATGGAACCTGCCTTGCTTTGGGCTTCAGGGTCCTATGAGGTCCCAATGCCAGATTCCGATGCAGTTTCTGGAGTTGAAGATGACTGTGCACCTTCCTTGCTATGAACTAAGGGTAAAAAACAAACCCAGGCCACCAGCATTATCTAACCCACAGCCCAGGAGTAGCATCACCTCAAGGTTAACAAAAGAAAACAAAAACACTGCAGGATTACTATGACTCTGACCTGGGCATACAAGGCCAATGTTTTCAAAGCCACAGGCATGTATGAGCATAAAACAGATCATTGGGAAACATTCTTTAGCTACTCTTAACACCAAACTTTAATATGGCAAAGCATAATTGTGTTTCTCTTATCAGCATAAACAAAAGTGTAAAAGAAAAAAATATTGGTTTTGGGGGGCAGAAGGAGGAATTCAATAAATCCAGACTGGGGAGTGGGAATGGGAAATAAAGATGTTCTCTTTTTTTTTTTGCATTGACCAGAGAAACTCACTGTAAACACGCTCTTCTGCTGGTGGGTTTGCTGTAGCCTTTGTCTTGCAATTGCTGTCTAACAGGCTTAGCTCTCCTTTTGAAAGTGCTACAGTTCTCAGGTGGTGTTGGATTTGGTAACGCATTCGGTATTTTTCTCATCCTTGCACAAATGGGACTGCCCTTCTTTCTTGCCACTTTAAAAGCAGTGCAGAGCTTGCTGTAAATTGCCTTTCTTTTTTATGGACTAGTTCTTTCTGCCAATTTCCCCCAAGAAGTGAAGAATATTGTACTATAGTAAATAAACATGGCATAATCCATGCTACCCATGAAAAACAGATCCGTGCCACTGACCTTATTCCAAGTGAGCACTGGGGTTGGAATGCCCATGACTTCACAACTCAGGTAAATCTTTGCTCCAGTGACATTCCAGATTTCCTTAGGGGGAGTCACAATGGAAGGCCCTGAAAAGAGAGAAATCCTTTAAAACAGGTGACTCCAACTTGATGTCTGGTTCCCTGCTTCTTGTTTGTACCTAGTTACATTCAGTAGTTTTTCAGTGCCAGGACTCTCTAATACTATTATAGGCAGGTTTGGTAGCTCCACCCAATTAAGGTTGCCCAACACTTCCCATTATAAGACTCTGTTTTCAGTTGCTTATGACTTTGCCAAATTTGAACTGTTTGGGCTGAAATTTTCCAGACTGGGTGTCTGCCTCAGGCTGAATTAGTTTGGAAAATTTCAGCCAAAATGGTTCAGCTGCTTCTAACAACCAAAATAGGGGAAAATATGTTGTTTTACCCACATTAAAAAATTCAGGTGACATTTTCATTGAGATGCTCTAACACCTCTATGCTTTGGAACAGGGGCTTGAAATTTGGCAGGGGAGTGACCTTTGTGTCAGGTATGTGCCTTTTGCCACCCCCATGAAAATTTGGCCAAGTTATAAGCCTTGGAAAAATTACAGTTTTCACATGCTCAGTAGAGACTTGCTAGAGTTTACTATCTAAAACCTTCTTAGATTCTGTCCACACTGAGCATGCTCCAGCCTGGGGACACAGGGGGCTGAGAAGGACTTTCTCTGCAATTGCAGCTTCCAGCTGCTCTGGGCTGTGCGGGGTTCCAAGAACTGGAACTGAGAGCAGTGACCCCTCCACTGGTGCCCAGGTAGTGAGGAGGAGGAAGCTGCCTGATTTGAATGGTGATGGGACAAGAGCTGGACTGGGTGTGTGTGATCCGAACAGCATCCCAATGCAAGAGGGCAAGGGGCTCCCTGATAGGGAGTGTCAGCTGGTCTGAGCAGTTCAGTGTACCCCAACTCATTATGTCACAACCGGTGTCTAAAAGGTATCATGTAAGATACCAATAGAAATCTAATAACATACTGATCATTAATATTATTGTGAAGTGTGGGTATTCAAAATTACAAACATTCTGGGAATTATGTTCTTAAAATATGTCTGCCAGGCAGGGCTGAAATTACCCCATTCTAGACAAAGGAATGTGGTTCAGCTATCTTGAAGGTACTTCCAAGGTATCACGGGAATCCATTTACATACGAGGAAATAAAACCATTACGCTAACAAGGGGAGGAGATAATCACTCAGAATCATGGCAGAGGGAGGAGACTGCAGGAACAAATCAATCTGGATTTTAGCAAACACCAGGGAATCGTCTTTCTCACAGCTTGAAAGAACTTTATTAGGGCAGGAGCAGGCAACCTATGGCACGAGCGCCAAAGGCGGCACATGAGCTGATTTTCAGTGGCACTCTCACTGCCCGGGTCCTGGCCACCAGTCTGGGGGGCTCTGCATTTTAATTTAGTTTTAAATGAAGCTTCTTAAACATTTTAAAAACCTTATTTACTTTACATACAACAATAGTTTAGTTCTATATTATAGACTTATAGAAAGAGACCTTCTAAAAACGTTAAAATGTATTACTGGCACGCGAAACCTTAAATTAGAGTGAATAAATGAAGACTCGGCACAGCACTTCTGAAAGGTTGCCGACCCTTGCTATAGGGGGTAGTATGGTTGCCAAATTTCTAACCGCACAAAACTGAACACCCTAGCCCCACCCCTTCCCTGAAGCCCCACCCCTGCTCACTACATTCCCCCTCCCTTGGGGGCTTGCGCTCCCCCACCCTCACTCACTTTCACTGGGCTGGGGCAGGGGGTTGGGATGCAGGAGGGGGTGAGAGCTCTAACTGGGGGTGAAAGCTCCAGGGTGGGGACAGAAATGAGGGGTTCAGGGTGTGGGAGGGGGCTCCGGGCTGGGGCAGGGAGTTGGAGTCAGTGAGGGGGTGAGAGCTCCGCTGGGGGTGCGGGCTCTGGAGTGGGGCTGGGGGTCTTGGGGTGCAGGAGGGGGCTCCAGGTTGGAGGTGGGGCTGAGGGATTCGGAGTGCGGGAGGGGGCTGCAGGTTGAGGCAGGGGTTGGGTGCAGGAGGGGGTGAGAGCTCTGGGCTGGGGGTGCAGGCTCTGGGGTAGGGTTAGGGATGAGGGGTTTGGGATGTAAGAGGGGGCTCCAGGTTTTGGGGGTACTCAGGGCTGGGGCAGGGGCGTGGGTGTGGACTTACCTCGGGCAGCTCCCAGTCAGCGGCGCAGCAGGGCTAAGGCAGGCTCTCTGCCTGTCCTGGCTCCGTGCTGCGCCCTGGAAGCAGCCAGCAGGTCCAGCTCCTAGGCTGGGTGGGGAGAGAAGGGAGCCAGGAGGCTCTGTGTGTGGCTCTCACCCACAGGCACCGCCCCCCCAGCTCCCATTGGCCATGGTTCCTGAACTTGCTATCCGCTTCTGGGGTGCAGCGTGGTGACAGGACAGGTAGGGACTAGCCTGCCTTAGATCCACAACACTGCCGATCGGACTTTTAACGGCCTGGTCGGCAGTGCTGACCGGAGCCGCCAGTGTCCCTTTTCGACCGAGCATTCTGGTCGAAAACTGGATGCCTGGCAGAGCCTTTGGTGGTGGAGTTGGTGCTTGAGGGGAAAGGGAGAGGAAAACTAGGCCTTGGAGTTAGGGGGGATGGGCTTGGACTGGCTGGGCAAGGAGGCTGGGAGCCAGGAAGGGGGCAGAGGGGTTCAATGGATGCAAAATGTCCTAGGTATCTCTTCCCCCTCCCCCCCATGCTCTTAGCAGGCTGTGCGTGTTCTCAGGTCTGCTGCACACTTCCTGTGTGACCCGAGGCAAGTCACTACCTTGCTCTGAGCCCAGTGGCGGCTCCAGGCACCAGCGCAGCAAGCGTGTGCCTGGGGCGGCAAGCCGCGGGGGGTGGCAGTCAGGTGGCCTTCGATGGCGTGCCTGCGGGAGGTCTGCCGGTCCCGCGGTTTCGGTGGCGGGTACGCCAAAGCCACGGGACTGGCAGATCACCCGCAGAAACGCCGCCGAATACGCAAGACCGCGAACCTCCCGCAGGTATGCAGCGGAAGGCCGCCTGACTGCCGTGCTTGGGGTGGCAAAAAACATAGAGCCGCCCCTGTCTGTGCCTCACTTTCGACATCTCTAATATGGCGATGATATTTCCCTACATCACAGGTGTCTAGTGAGGATGCAGTCATTAACCCATGCTAGGCCATCAGGCTATTACATGACGAGTATCTCAACCGAAGTGTAGAAAAGAAACGGTCTGGTAAATTATCCTGCCAGCAAACTTCCAACTGCTGCCTTTCCCCACAGTTCTGGCCCTTTGGTTTGGCATAAGCTAGCAAATGTGTGTGCGCGCACATGAGTGAGTGAGAAAGAGAAAGGTGTGGGGGGAGGGAACACAGGCCAGTGCGTGGGAGAGCAGGGCATGGGGGGAGGGCAGGGAGGGCTAGCTTTCCAAATGAGCTCAGCTCCCATGTAGCAGTAAACAAAGTGGCCAGACTGTTCTCAATGGCAGCTGCTGGGTGCCTGGGCCCTTTTGAAGATCTGGTCATGTCATTTACGTGCCTAGATGGGAGCTGTTAAGTACTGAGTTGTTTAGAAAATCTGGCCCTCAGGCTTGGCAGTGTATTAGACACAAGCAGTGTTCCAGGAAGGAGAAGAATGGGCTTTGTTTAATCTCTTTTTTTGTAGGACTGCACTGCAAATGTGCTATTAATTTCTTGAACTAGAAAGCGAAATCCAAATGAATGTGTCACGTTTATTTTCACTCAATTAAAGCTTTCAAGGCTGCATCTCAGAGGGTCATTTGTATCTCTTCCTCAGAAGACAGAGGCACAGTAACTGTAATCTACACAAATCAAATCAAGTTGTTTCTTGTAGGGACATTGGAATTGCCAGGCCCGGATCCATCTAGTCTCATATTCTGTCTCTGACAGTGACCAGAGGCTTCTGTGGAAGAAGCCCTAGTGGACAGATATGGGCTAGCCTCTTTCCAGGGAACATTTCCTCCTGGGCTTCATTAGCTGGAGGCTGGTTGATGTCTTTAAGCAGGAGGATTTCTAGCTTTTGCTCGTGTTTTTAATATATACTATTCTAACCCTGGATTCCATTGTTACCCCTTGTGATATACCCAGGCCAGTTGGGTACAGCAGAGTAGTAGAAGGCAGATATACTGGTCACCGGATAAGCAGTTTTCTGTTCCCTGACTGACTAGAGCAGGAGCTGCTCCAGGCTAGGGTGGACACCTGACTCCAATTAGCCTGCAAAGAGTCAGGTGAGACTGTTAAGCTAATGTGAACACCTGACTTTAATTAAGGTCCCTCTGACACTATAAAAGGGCTCACTCCAGTCAGGCCCAAGAGAGCCAGGGAGCCAGAGGAGAGAAAGTGCGACCGAAGGGCTGGGTAATGAAGACACCCTCAAACCACGGGAAAGGGAGCCCTAAGGTAAGGGTGAAGAAGGTGTTAAGAGAGAGAAGCAGGGGAGCTGTGGGGAAGCGGCTGTGACAGTGAAAGGTCAGCTGCCAACAGCTGCTGCCATTAGGATCCCTGGGCTGGAACCCAGAGTAGAGGGCAGGTTCCCCCCGACCCGCCACTACAGAAACACCTCCTGGAAGGGGAAGACCGGCCTCTGTCAGGACAGGAGGCTCAACTGTTCTTGAATAAGCTGTAGGGACAACAGAGACTGTGGGAGTTCTCTCACCAACCTCCTTGCTGGCTTGTGATTAAAAGGGCTCAGTAGACTGTACCCTGGCCCTAGAAAGAAAAGGGCTACATGGAGGGTCGCAGTGAGCCTCTGAGGCTAGCTCTGGAAGCGCGGGACCCACGGGGACAAGGTCGGAGCTCTGCCACACCCTCTACACATCTTATCTTCTCTGGCATTCTGCTGTTCTCCTGTCACAATGAATGTGGAGCAGATTTTGGATGTGTTCTTACCAAGTGCATTGTCATTTTCTTCCAACAAAGTATTTTTCTACAGCCCAGTGTCTCCCACCATTCTGCTATTGGCTGCTCTTCCTCTCTGCAGTTTTGGAGGTGGTTCAAAGCTGTAGCATGGCTCCTGCTGGCAGCATGGCTCCTGCTGGCAGCAATATTTTTTTCTCACC